AAAAAAAAAACTATTTTAAAATTTCATCTCTAAAAAAAAAAAAAAAAGAAATGCCAAAAGCAAAAGCAAAATTAAAAACTTTATTAATAAAACTTCAACATGAAAAAAAACATAGGAATAAAGTAACTGCTACATCACGAACTTTATATCCGTATCCAAAAATAAAATCTTCTTCAAATGTGAAAAAACAAATTAAACCACCACCCTATCATCCTGATGATTATATTCTATTAGTTGGAGAAGGTGCATAATATCTTTGACTATAACTTTCAATTAATACATTTTTTAATTTACATGATCACAATTTATAATTAAATATTAAATATGTAGGAAACTTTAGCTTTGCGCGCACTCTAGCAGAATCAATTCTTCATACTGGTCATAAAATAATTGCAACATCATATGATACCAAAGAAATATTAACAAAAAAATACGATGATGCACAATCAAATATAAATATATTTACAGAATGTGGTGGTCAAGTTTTATATCAAGTTGATGCAACAAAACTTGAGAATTGTAAAGAATTAAAAAATAAAAGATTTGATAAGATTGTTTTTAATTTTCCTCATGCGGGTAATTTATTTAATAATTATCCTTTTATAATTATTTTTATTAGTATATAAATAAATTTAATGTTAATTATTTTAATAATTTATTAATAAATAAAGGTCTAGGGATAAAAGATCAAGATCGTAACATTATTGCAAATCAACGTTTAATTCATTCCTTTCTCACATCTTCTTTGGCTTTTCTTACTTCTCGTAATCTTTATTCTGATGATAAAGATGGTGAAATTCATATTACAATGAAAACAGGGGTGCCTTATGATCATTGGAATATTCGCAAATTAGTTAAATCTATAGAAAGTCTTGGAATTAAAGAGAGTTTTGAGTTTGATCCAAATCTTTATCCAGGGTATGAACATCGAAGAACTTTGGGATTTAAAGAAGGTGTTAGTAAAAAAGATAATGAAGAAATTTTGGAAAAACAACCAAGAACTTTTGTTATTGTCATGAAAGAAATTTTATTAGAAGAAGAGAGACAGAGAAAAGAAGATGCAAAAGAAGAAGATGATGACTCCTTTGTTATGAGATCTAAAAAGGTAATAAAGGGTAAAAAAAGAAAATAATTTAGTATATATTTTGTATATATTTAAGGTGCTTCAAATTTTGCTATTTCAAATAAAATAATAAGTTAGTATTGTTATCAAGAATTGCTGTTACAAATATAATAAAGTAATTAAATCAATTGTTATCAAATATTGCTGTTATAATAAAATAAAGTAATTTATTTATTACCAAAATTGTTATTACTAATGAAATAAAATAAAGTAATTTATTATTTTTATTAAAATTGCTACAGTGCGGGCATCCTTAACCCGACATATAAAATACACAATTTTTTAAAAATTTATAAATAAAAAACTAAAATAGT